GAAGGGGCTGGAGGGAGCGGAGTCCCAAACGCAGCGCCCGGCTGCAACCCCCTCCAAGTCCCCGGCCGAGGTTTTTCCCCTCTCCGGGGTGGATGGAGGGGAGGGGAGGGGGGGTCTTTTATTTTCCTTGCTGATTTGTTCAACATGTTTTCACGCGCACCGTTTGCCCTGGCTCGGCGGCCTGGCCGGCTCCCTGCGCAGCTTTCCCACTTGTAGGCGTTTTGAGGGGAAATCCCGCTGTAGCCCCCCTCTCTTAAATGAAGGCGCTAAGAGGACAGATCAGGTCGATGCTTTCTCTGGAAGGAAGAGGCCCGGATTTTACGCTTTTTGCTTGTCGAAAAGTTGAGCGCTGCAAATGTCCTGTTTTCGGAGGAGGATCGTAGAAGTCGCCCGTGTTTCTGGCTCCCCGGCGGGCTGGCGCGGGGCTGGGCAGATGCCTCCCCCACCCCTCTGTGCTGTAACGAGTTAAGTGGCCATCTAACTTGCCTGCTCTCCTGCTTGGGAGAGGCTGGAGTTCATTTCCCAGCCATAGAGATGAGTTTAATTAGCAGGGCAAATCTGCTTAAAGCAGGCTGTGTAATTAGCAATCATCCCCTTTGCCGGAGCAGTAGAAAAGAATAATCTGATTTAGTGCAGAGCCCCACTTTGGAGAAGGGAACGCCCCAAAGAAGTCAGGGTGAACTTGCTGTTGGGACCAGGAGGCGCTGGGTGACCAGGTCTCATGTCCTCTGGTGTGGCAGGTGGGGGAGCCCGCTCCCCAAGCGCCTGCCTTGCAGCTCAGTCTTCCCTCTGGAGCCTGCAGTGCCCTCTGCTCTGATTTTTCTGGGTCACTTTGCAGTTTGGTTCTGTTACCTGTATGCTCACTGCTTGCTCCAGTTCTGCTGCTATCTACAGGCTTCATCCTGGCTGAGGGACTAACCGTAGCACCCTTGAATGACTTTACCTCAACTTCCAGAATGAATTTATGGCAGAGCTGGGGGGCGGGGAAACAACCCAGGAGTTCTGAATACCCCCTGCCGGACCCAGCAGATCAATGCTCCATCCCTAAACCAACCCAGAGCAAACTGTGCTCCCCTTATATAAAGTCCAGTTGGTTGCTAACCCACTGTCTGGGCTGGCCAGGCTGTCACATGAGTCAGCAGCATGCTCAGTGATTTGGCTACCCCTTGCAGGGCCAGTGGGGCCAGATATCTGCTGGAGCCCAGGGCATCTCCTGCCCTGGCATCATGCAGCCGGGCTGTTTTCTTAGAGGTACAAATTCTGGTCAGAATCTGTCGTCCTGCAGGAGCCCGTTCTGCGGGGAAACGTCCTGTGCATCCGCCTCTCCTGCTGGAAACAAACTGGGGTTACAGCTGCTGAGATGACCCCAGAGCAAGAGAGAACCAGGTGCCAGGACACCTTGGCAGTGTCACTACCTTTCTGGCTGCTGGACCTCTATGGAGCATGCTTCTTGAATAAGCTCCTTCAGCCTGATACCGCAAGGTACTGAGCACCCTCCTTCCCACTTGAAGAAGTGGGAGTTGAGAGCATATAACATCACAAAGGATCCGGTCCAGACATAGGCAGATATAGGACACACTAACTCGTCTGGACACTGCAATCCCCAACATGTTGCCGCAGGTAGGTCATTATATGGGCAGTATCTCTGTGCGAAACGCAGAGGGTTCGTAACGATGTCCTAGGGATGTATTTGGTTTCTTTCTTTCCTACTTTCCCCGTAAGGAAGACTGATTGTTGTGCTTGGAGTTTTCTTTGTCTGCAATGGACTTTTGTTCCCTTGCAAAGAGCAAAGTGGCTGCTTGACATGAAGTGGCCCCATGTTTGATGAGGCCTGTCTTTCCCTCTCCTTTAAGCAAGCAGGATATTCAGAGGAGGGCAGATCCTGTGATTAGGCCAGAGGACTGGGAATTGGGATCATGTGTCCTGTTTTCCCTCTGTGGCTCAGTGAATCTGTATATTAGATGGGGATATTGTTTCTCAACCTTCTTGGCTGTGAAATGCAGTGGGTTAACACCTAATGCAGATAAAGCCCTGTAGACCCTTGCTTGAAAGGTGCTGTGGAAAAATCAAATTAACTGAGTGATTAAAAAGAGCCTTGGTTAATTTGGAAGCTACTCATATGCTTTCTGCGTCAGGACACCACAGCATCAGGTTACGTTGCTGGTGATACGCAGGGCCATAAGTATCACAACTGTCGTGACACTTGGACGAAGCAAAGACAGAGGCAATACTTACAGGGAGCTGGTGATATGTAGTGAGCAATTATGTCCACTTTAGGGAGCTCTGGTTGAGAAAGACAGAGGTCTTTCTGTTTCTATTTCATTTTCTTTCTGATGGGACAGTGTTGATTTTCCTATGCAATGAAAAGAAGCAAGGGAGTGAATAACAATGAGCTACTTTGAAGGGTGCAAACTCCCATGGGAGGGGAGCACCGTTGTTCAAGGTAAGGATGCATCCCTAAAATTCAAGGGATGGAGCTGAGCAACGGAAAATCAAGATTGAAAACCAGGCAAAGCTTGGGCTCTGTGCGACCCATTGGCATGCAGAGGACTCTGACTGGAGAAGTGTGAGAAATCC